TTACGTAAATAAATGTGGCTGCTCACATGGGGGCAATCTAGAATTCCATCTTGAATTAGGGCCGGGGCTTGCGCCGCACTTACACGTGCAGAGCGTTTTTGTAGAATACATCATGGCAATCAGAACTTTATTCAAAACCTGCACCATTTCTTGCGCCGTGCTTGCATGGAGCTTTCACAAGCCCACTTGCCTACTTTTGACAAGTTGTGCTATGCTTAGCGTTAAAGTCGTAGACAAGGGCTTTGGGACAACCCTCATGTGCTTGCTAGTTTGCTTGCATTCTCTGCTAGGAGTGGGCTTGTTATGTATGCTGATGTTGTTTTGACTCTTGGCCGGCAGCTTTACTACGTTTGATGTTGCAGTTCAATTGCGAATGCTTTTTCTCATGCCAGAACGTAACAACGCATGAATTACACTGACACCAAAACAAAGCCCTTACAAGGACCGCTGACAATCCAAACGAGGCGATGCGCCGTGAGGCCAATGGGTTTCACCGGTGAACAAATGATTTTGCTTGAGTGATCCGTTGCTGAACTTGTCTATCCGACGCATTCACACGAAACGTGCCTTCAACCAGACCAGCGTGCTAACAGAAACCTGCCGGTTGGTCTTGAGCAAGAGTTGATGGAACAGCCTCAAAGGTTCATCCCTAAACCCTAAACCCTAAATTGTAGTCTCCATTTTATTTCCATTCTCCGAATATAAGCCCAATATAACCCTAACAAACATAATCCTAATATAATCCCAATATTATCCTAATATTACCCCAATGACTCCTGACTATGAGAGCATGGCCGTGCTAAGATCTGCTCAGTCTTGCGAGAGCCCCTAATAATAGTAATAATAGTAGTACTAGTAATGATGAATACTAGTAAGGATAATCGTAATCATGAACAACAGCTAATAGTAGTACTATTTGTAATAATAGAAATAATTAATCATAATTGGTAAGAATAGCAATAATAGAAATATCTTATCGTATTAGGAATAATAGCATTATACTAACACGAACAAGATCCAGGGGAGGACAGATGCTTTCAACCAGGTTCGCTAAACCCTATAGTAGTTCCCATTTTCTCTTCCGCTATCCCAATATTATACCCCTGCATAATATCATACCATAATATACTATAATATACCATGATCTACTATAATTTACTATAATATACGGACAGGTGTTTTCAACAAGGTTCCGCCGGCCCATGACAACATGGAGCTCCTCTTGACTTCGTAGAAACGTATACCGTGGTGGTATTTGTGATCTACTAGGGTGAAATGCGAAGTGTGTGCAACACGCGTTGTCAAACTCCACCTGAACTTAATAAAATGGAGCGGCCATTCAAAACGGTACGATGGCCACGCAACTCACCACTTGTCAGCCTTGTTGTAGACGTAGGAGGCCACATCCTGACGCCAGGGTCGCATGCAAACCTTTCATTCCGTGCTGTTTCATGCCCACATTTGGCACATCTGCCCGCGCTACCCTGCCTCGATGTCATCAGGGCCAAGCTTCTCGCCGAAGGCAGGCATGGCGCCGTTGCCGTTGGTC